CTATTGATAATAAGTTTATATTTATTTAGGATATTTAATAAGGGTAAATATAAAAATATAAGTTAGTTTAAAAATAGATAACTACTTTATTGAGGAATGAGATTCGGTACGAAGGGAGTAACACTTTCTAAAATATGGTGTAAAAGTGAATAGAGAAGGAATAAAATACAGTTAGATAAAAAAATAAAAAATTGGGAAAAGAAAATGTTTTTATACCTACTTTTATAAAATAATAAAAATAAAAATAACTGTTTTAAATAATAAGAAGAACATGAACTGTTTTTTCCCTTTCAAAAATCAAATAAAAAAAAATAAATAAAACAAATTATTTTATCATTGGCATTTTTTTTTAAAAAAGTAAAACACCCTCACACAAGTTTCGAAACAGTTCTTTTTTAATCATTTTATTAAAATATGGTATTAAATTTAATTTTATGAAATAATTAGAATCAGAATTATAATTTTAAATTAATAAAAAATGATCTTATTCTTATTATTAATTATTAATGATGTGAGAGGTTCACGGGCAGCGCATGAAAGAGTATGGGAAAATGACAATTAAGAACCCTCTAAAATATTAATCTCAATTAAGATCATAATATTTTGAAATTTCAGTTAAGGACCATGGTCTTGAATTGAGATAAAAATATATAGTTTATGAGGTGGGATTCACTAACGTTACATAAAATTTACTAACCTAATTGAAAAAATTTGTAACATATATTGTGAAAATATGAAATCACACTTAAAAATCGATTGTTTAACAATAAGTGTCACTTAGAAATTCACTAACCTGACTTGAAAGATTTCTAATATATATTATGAAAATATAAAACTCCATTTGAGAATCAATTTTTAACAAAAAAATCTCAATTTGGACAAGTTACTTTTTGTTAAACAATTAATTTTTAAGTGGGGTTTCATTTTTTCACAATATACGTTACAATCTTTTTCAAGTTTGGTTAGTAAATTTTCAAGTGATATTTTTTATTAAACAATTAATTTTTAAGTAAATTTTTATGTTTGTACAATATACATTATAAATTTTTTTAAGTCAAGTTAGTGAATTCTTAAATAGCGCTTTTTGTTAAACAATTAATTCTTAAGTGGGGTTTCATGTTTTCATAATATATGTTAATAATTTTTTTAAGTTAGGTTAGTCAATTTTTAAGTGATGTTAATAAATCCTACCTCATAAACTATAATTTTTTATTTCAATTAAAAATCATGTTCATTAATTCAGATTAATATTCTTAAAGGGTTTTTAATTGTTAATTTCGCCAAGAATATCCTATTTGAGGTCACCGCCTCGCTCTCAGCATATCTAGGGTTTGCACCGTCTCATTTCATCATATAAATACTAAACCGTCGATCCGTTCTCTTGCTTCCCTCTTGCGTGCTGAGTGATTTAATAGCCCTTCCGACTCCCACCCTTCCACTCTCAGAATGGCCGTCACCTTATCAGGTCTCCATACAGAATCAGGACTCAAGTCCCTTAATGAATTCCTCTCTGGCAAGACCTACATTTCTGGGTAACTTTCTCCGATTTGAGTTTCGTTTTTGAACTCTTTCTCTTGAGATTTCTTCCATTCTCAATCTCTTATGGTTCTGATTGAATTTTCAGCGATCAGTTGACCAAGGATGACATTAAGGTCTACGCCTTTGTTTCGAAGAACCCAAGCGATGCTTTTCCCAATGCCAGCAAGTGGTACGATGCCGTCTCTTCACGTCTTGCTGAAAGGTTTGTTCCTTTATTTCTTTTCAATGTTCGGATGGGCTAGGTTCCTTTATTTTATTCAATAGTATTCAATTTGAAAGTTGATATTGATTTTGTGCGATCAGCTTCCCTGGAAAAGCTCAAGGGGTGAAATTCAGCGGCCAAGCTGCTCCAGCTGAAGCTAGTCCTGCCAAGGCGGTATGCATCTCACTTGATTTTGTCTTTTGTTATTTCTTTGTTGTTTCTCTTATTTTCTTTTAATAATTGTTTGACTATGTTACTTGTTAGGGTTTTTCGGGGTCTGATTTCCTTTATTTAATCAACCATGCTAACATGCTAATGATTATGCCAATATGTGCATAAACGAATTGGATGTAGGGTCCTTTTTGTTTGGCCTGTTGATTTAGTCTTTCTTCAGTTCCTAGCACTAAGTACACCTGAAAATGCAACGGAAAAAGTTATGGGATGAAGTAAGATGAAGCTTGAAGCTATGAGTATTAATTTAGTAGAAGGCAATTTTTAATATTATACATCTCATTTTGTAGTTGGTACAATGGAAAGAGACTACTTTTCCATTATTATACCAAACAGGCCAGAATGAGCAAACTAAAGGGTCCAACATAGCTTTAATTGCAAAACTAGAAGGGCTGTTGTTTTGATGAGCAAATTAGAAAGGTCAAAATTGTGATTTTGATGAGATAAATTGTAATATAATGTGGAAACACTTAGGTTGTTGCCTGGATTTTGAGATTTTGTGATAGACTTGACGAAAACTGTCCTGGATAAGCTAATTATTGTACTGTACTAGCAATCATGCGAATTACTTCTGTTAACTGGATTGCTCTGTATTAGCAGGCTGCTCCTGCTGATGATGGCGATGACCTTGATCTGTTTGGTGACGAGACAGAGGAGGAAAAGGCAGCAGCAGAGGCAAGAGAGGCTACTAAAAAGGAATCCTCCAAGAAGAAAGAGAGTAAGCTTCCTTTCGACTTCGGCTGATTGTACATGAAGCATCTACTCATTAATCCACCTACTGGTCCTGCCATTTGGGAGGTTCATTTAGTTTAATGCTTAGATTTTAGTTATTATAGGTTTAAAGTTAACTAAAATTCTCTTTCTACTATCTGATTGCTGTGAGTAATATTGTCATCTATCTACATTTTGTAGGCGGGAAGTCCTCTGTTTTGCTTGATGTGAAGCCTTGGGACGACGAGACAGATATGAAGAAGCTGGAAGAGGCTGTTCGTTCGATTGAGATGCCTGGGCTTCTGTGGGGAGCATGTATGTTGAATATTTCATCACATTCACTTTATTCATTGTTATGACCCATTGAAAAAGAAATGTATGATGGGAACAAATGCTTTGTTTCAAATTTGCAGCCAAACTGGTGCCGGTTGGTTACGGTATTAAGAAGATGCAGATCATGATGACCATTGTTGACGACCTTGTCTCTGTGGATTCCCTTATTGAGGAACATCTCACAGTTGAGCCATGCAGTGAGTATGTTCAAAGTTGTGACATTGTTGCGTTCAACAAAATCTAAGGTTTCTTGTTGGACATAAGTGTGGCCATTTTCAAGCGGCTGATTTATCTGCTTTTGGTTAATAACCCTTGTTTATCATCTTGTGTTTGTTCTGTTTCAATGGTGGTCTTTTGTTGCTAGAATCATGAGAAGTAGAAGAAATATATTTTGAGTATTGGTGATTGTGTTGTTATGGTGCTCCTTCAAATAGTGCCCTTGTAAAACGCTTCCTAGATGTATGGGATCGACATTAAAGGGCAAAGTGTTTAGCTTTTATAGTTTTGGTTGGGAAAATTGATAGATGAGGTTTCAAAATTTATGTTTATATATGATAGATGTGGCCATGAGGGTCCTAATAATGGAAATTTTTCTTAAAAGATTATTGAAATGAATTGTAAGTGCATATTCGGTTGTAGGATGGAATTTAGGGTAGGTGTGTTTTCATTTTCTTTCTAGAAAATATTTTTCTATTAAGGGAAAGATATTCGTTTTATCCTTATATTTACATCTTATTGTGACAAGTCCCTATATTTCAAGTCGGCCCCTGTAATCTATCTACATTAAATCCATTGCTCATGCATTATTTATGGGTAATGGTGCATTTTTGTTTTTGAAATATTTTGAGGAGCACACATTTTAAACTATTGATTGAAGCAATTTGGCTATTAAAGTATTGAAATAAACCATTGATGCCCTTGTCAAATTCTTAATGTTAGAAAATGTTAATTGGAACTTCGGTGTTGATCGATTGAGATTTTAATGATAAGGGCAAATATGTTAATTAATTTTAAGGGTATATTTTAATCAATAATTTAGGATGCTGAATGTTCTTTAAAAAGTACTGAGGCAACAATGTATTTATTCATTAAATTTCGTGCAATTAAAGTAATTTTTTATATATTTTAATTGAATTTTAATATTAAAAAGAATAATAGTACAGTTTGAAGAAGTTTATAATTTATTGGGAAAATGATGATATAATTCTTGTTGGGGTGGGTTAACTGCCGCTAGAAAAAAAAAAATCCTAATTCTGAGAGTCCATTTTTCTCCATCTTCCTCCTCCTCTGCCAAGAGGAAAAGTAAATACTAGCCCTTTATTGTTTTTCTTTCATTTTTCTCAATCTTTTTCTTTCAACCAAGATGAAAGTAAATATCCATTCGAGCACCACCGACTTGAGTCTCCAGATAATTCGATTCCATTGATCCAGCAGAATCATTGTGATCCATTGACTATCTGGTGTCCACGTGGCATGTGACTTCTTTACATACTTTATAGTTAAGTACACTTTTTAATTTTAGTTAATTAGATAGTTTTTTTTAAATAAGATAAATATATTTAATGTTTTTTAATATGTACAATTATATTTAATATATTTTTGGTTGGTAAAAGCAAGATGTACAATCTTTAATTTATTTTCAATGAATTTGATTTATGTACTAACTCTTATTTAATTGGACTTGAAAAATTAGAATAAAAGTAAATTTCATTATTATTTTAATCAATTAACATAAAACATAAAATTGATATTAATTACAAGTCATAAATAGAATAGATTATGCTCCAAATTCCTCGTGAAAACGGGATAACAAGCATTGAAGAATACAATTTTTAGAGAACACGCATATAAAATTTCAACGAATAAATTGATTGAACTCTCTTAAATACCTCTCCTTTAGGAAATAATGATGATGATGATAATAATAATAATAATAATAATAATGATAATAACAGCAGTCGTCGTCGTCGTAGAAGCCTAAAGCCTCTTCGGCTCATTTTCCAAATAGAAAAAGGAACCGAAAAAAACTCACTTTTCCCTGAATTCTCTTTTTCGTCTTTCTAGACTCACTCGTAGTCGTCACTCTTCGTACTATTGCTCCCTCGCTTCTCTGTTCTGAATTCTTTTTCCTATATCCTCCATAATTCTGGTTAGTTCACTGAATCACTCTTGCGGATTCCACGTTTTAGTCTTTTTTTTCTATAGGGAAGAGTTTAATCTGGTCATTTAGAATTAGAACCATTGGGTTTTTATTAGATTTTACGATTGTAGACCCCGAGTTGAAATTTTCGTTCTTTGACAATGGTTTGATTTGTACTTGCTTTTCCTTACACCTGGCCTTTTGTTGTTATTTTTGTTGTCTCGTTTTGTGTATCTACCTGTTGTTGTGCTTACTGTCTTTGACAGTGACGATTGATAACGAATGCTTGTTTGTGCTTGAATTTCATTTTTCCTGTTGCATGAAGTTTATTATTCCTTTTAATTCGTTGGGGTTATGAATTATTTTCAAATCAACACGAAGCAGTTTGTTTCTTTGCGTTCTTACGGTTCTTTATTGTGCTTATAACTGAAATCAAATGCAATATATATATATATATATATATTTTTAATCTTACCCCATTGCAACCACCGAGCTGGGCTTTTTGCATCCAATCCCTGTGTTCCCAGGTCAATTTAAGTTGCATAAAAAATTCAATAAGCCTATGATCATGAAACTAATGAAGTTTTTCACAATTTTCGTATGGTATCCGCAGTTGAAGATGATTTCTCTTTCTCTGTATTAAAAGTGAGATAGACAGTGTTTATTATGTGTGGTTCTACTGTCACTACTCATTGCTTGCTATTATTCTTTCACTTCAGATTTACAAGTGTCCTTTTTATTTACAAAATCACGTTTGTATTTAATTTGCAGTTAATTCTGTTCTGTTATGCGGATCAAATGACTTGTTGATTCTCAGTTCAAAGGCCTTGGTGACAATACCTTAAGTTGTCAAAGGTTTGAATTAGTGACCTTATTACTATTGAAGTGTTACCCAGACCTGTGTTTTTGTTTTCTCCTAAGTTGAACAATCTACCTTACTAGCAGTACAATATCTTAAAAAATTAAACAAAATAAACCTCTTGCCATGCCTATTTGCCATACATTATATGATCAACTACATTCCTAATATTTCAAGAAAAATTTCATGCCTCGATGAATCAATTGTTGCTTACTAGAATAAAAAAAAAATGTACTTAACCAATCCAGGAGGTATTGTTCTCTCCAACCTCGTATTAGCATTCATTTTTCAATCACAACACACAAGCCATTGCATTTCCTTGTTAACTAGCCATCAAGGAATCATTTTTACTTTGTTGGGTTTGAGGCTGTCATTTTTAGTCCCATCAGATTAGTTTATGCTCAAAGTTAATATTTCTTATCTTGCTCTTTTCACTTGTGTTTTGTGTACTGTAATAGCTATCAAATTTGTTCTGACGCCTTATGATATGAGTTAAAGTTTGGTCTACTTCGTATCAGTAGCTTCTCTGTTTTTAGTGCTGGGAATGGTTACGGCCTGGACATTAATGGTTTGTTTGTCTAATGTGAATCTTTTTCTAAATATTTGGTACCCTTATCACATAACATATAAATATAATTTGTACGTGCACTCACATAAATTTTTTTGTTAGGTTGCATGCAGTATCTTAGTATCATTTACATGCAATTTAAGCATCTATACAAAAACATTCTTTCAACGATGAGAGTAGTAATTATTGAAGTCTATGACTGAGTAACAAGGTTAGGGTTCGGATCAGGAGATGGGAAGCCTTGGTTTTATTTTTGTAATATAATGGTTTGGTCTCTGGGTGTGTATCTGTGTGTGTGCAGGTTTAATGGATGAAAATCCAGTGGGATGTCAAAAAAGAGTTAACATTCAACCAGCTGAGACAATTGGCATATTGAGTCATCTAAATTAACCTTCTTTTTATTGATATTTAGTTTATAAATTTTTTATATTGGTTGCTATTACATGTAGGGTAGTATAATTTGGTGCAGCACATAGGCTTTTAAAGGCAGATTTACCCTTTAGAAGCCTGGAAGAAAAGCATGTCAAGTGGAGCAACACATTGGTGTTATGAATGTGGACATCCGATTGTGCTTGAAGGGAGGGAAGTCATTTGCCCTTACTGTCATGAAGGCTTTGTGCAAGAACTCGAGATGCATGCCTCTCAACCATTTAATGCTATGGAAGAGTTTCATCGAATGCCCTACCTTTTTGATGCCATGTGTGCTTTCATGACGCAGAGAATGGCTGGGCCGTACCTAAACTTTGATATTAGAGAAAGGTCTGATACTGCACTATTTCCTGAATGGAGTCAAGATTTTTTCAATTCTGGCCCTTCTTTGATGTTTCATGGTCCTAGAGGGGATACTAGGCCTGTTGATTTCGGTGGTTTATTGATGGCCCCTGGACTCGAAGCATTCATTCAACAGCTGACTATGAATGATCACAAAGGTCCTCCTGCAGCCTCACATTCCTCGATCAATGCAATGCCTACCATTAAGATCACACGAGCACATCTTCACTGTGATTCACACTGTCCAGTCTGTAAAGAGAGATTCGAACTTGGGTCTGAGGCTAGGCAAATGCCCTGTAACCATATTTATCACTCTGACTGTATTGTTCCTTGGTTGGTTCAGCACAACTCTTGTCCTGTTTGCCGTGTTGAGCTGCCAACTCCAGGACAGGGAAGTTCCAGTGGAGGAAGGAATGCCAGTAGCAGCAAGGGACCGTGATAGCTTGAGGAGACAGGAGCACAACCAACAGGACCAAGGAAGGAGAAGCCAACTATCGGCATGGTGGCCATTCTAATCATCCTGCTCAAACACCAACCATGATGCTTAGACCAGTGGGTCATAGAGGAATGTCATTTGGTCAACAATGGCTCCAGATAAGTATAGTCTAGTTGTCTAATAATGTTTTCAATGAATGAGATGGCAAATGACTTGAAACACTCGTATTTGATTAGTTTCTTAATTAGGATAATGTTTATATACATATATATGTCAAATTACTTAGAATCTTTGATAGTTCAATGGAACGATTCAATTTTAGCCTCTATGCATTGTATTGGTTGAGGCAAATTTGATCATAAGAATTTAGAGTCTGTTCTTTAGCATGAAGACTGCTGGTCTTTTCGATTCTTGTCATTATGATGAAGTAGCTTGGGCGAACCAGTGAGCATATGCGATGGAATCTAAATTGTTTTGGGGTGAATTATGATTGTGCTTGTATGTGCAAATTTCACTTTTTTTTTTTTTCACAAAGACAAGTTATTACTTAAGGAATTGTTTTTTCTTATTTTACCCAAAATACTACTTTTTTCTATCCATTTGTGAAAAAGCTTAACCCCTTTAACTTAACTCTTTTCATTGCTCATTTTATTTCCGCCCCTGTAATTTGTTGTCTCTAATTCCATAATGAAAATTGAATGCCACTATTTTGACCTTTCATGTAACCTGAAAAGGCATTCTTTCTATGTTGAGTGTGGAGATTAGTTAAATGAATGGTATGAGAAGGAAAGTGAGGCCTTGTTTGGTACGAGACAATGGGAGGGTGAGATTAGGATTAATGTTAGGTAATTCTATTTTTTTATGCTTGGTACGAAGAAATGGGCATTTCAATCCCAATAGCAATCTCTCCTTATATAGGATTAGAAAATACCAATGTGATTTGAGCGTGGTATTGCAAAATTAACCATAGAATTAATTTTTTAAAGATGAACATGCCTTTTTAATAGAGTTGGTAATTGAGCTAAGTCTGTGAGATTAGCTTGAACTCGCTCAAAAAATTTAAAGTTGAGTTTAAAAAAAATATTTGTTTAATATTTAGGCCTATTCAGACCAAGCCCGATTGGATTTGAGCTTGGTTCAAATACTTGAATAAAAAATAATTTATTAAAAAATATTTAACATATAATAAATATTAATTAATTTTTATATTTTATATCATTTTATGTTTAAATATTATATATTTAAATGCGTTACTATAGTTATTTTTTAAAAAAATAAAAAATATTATATGTTCATGTTTTTATTATTTTTAATTAACAAAATATCTAAAAATAATATTTAAAATTTATTTTATATATTTTAAGACCTAATTGTTTTTTAAAAATTTTTTAAGTCCTATACATAATTTTCATATCCAAAAAAATATATTTTATATTTTTATAAGATAATATAATTAATTTTAAAATAAAAATAAAATTAAAAATAATTTAAAAAATTTGAACATATATAAATTCTCGACTCTACTACTAAATAAATATAATAAATAAAATATTTTTAGATAATAATTTGGTTATTGTCTACACTAGATTTGATTAAAATTAAGAATAAAATAGAGTAAAAAATTTTTTATTGAAGGATTAAATGATATAAAAATTTAAAGAAAAATAATTTAAAAAATAATATTTCACTCATAATTAAATTATTTTGTTTTATATAATATAATGATGTCTATGTTTTTTATATTCTTAAAAATAAAAAGTATAATTTATCCAAAAGTTATTAAAAATTTTGAACTAATTTGGACAATGATTTTAAGTTAATAGTCTAACTGTAATTGAATTGAAATCAACTTAATTATAATTAAAAAATATAATTTAATTAAAATGTATAAAATATTTATATATGCCCATGAAAAGAGAAATATTTAAACAGTTAAGATATTAATTTACAAGTAAAGAAAATATTCATGAATAAATTACATATGATACAACAAAGTAATAATAGACCTACTTAAGCACAAAGTTGATAAATTATTATTTTTTATTTTATTCTTTTAAATTTAAAATAATATTTTATGCTTGACAAAATTATTTAAAAATTAAAATTGACTCAAAACATAAAAAAATATTTTTAAAAAGTTTCGGGTATTTGGATCAACCTAAATAAGCCCAAAGCTCAAAGGTGTTAGGGTCATGCTTGATTATATGGAGCTTTTAAGAGGAGTAGGATATTTTTAAATTCGATTCGAATAAGTTCAGCCCGTTCGAATTATTAGCTCTATCTTTCAACCTTTCCCCTCCCCTCCTAGTGTGCTAGTAGAAGATGTGACATTACCAAGCAAGTCATCACCCTCCCTCCACTTGTCCATCTCCATCGCAAGTTATTACTTGTCGTTGTTTTCGTCATAAGTCATCTCTCTCCCTCTAAATCATGTCTCACATCCTTTCCTTCACTCTACTCGTTCTCCTTATCCATTATTGCGGTAGATGTTACGTTGATCGAGAGCTCTCCTTAGTCAAAACAAGAGTTCTTGCCTCTCCCCTCCACCACTATTTCTTTGCCATTGAAGTTTTGGTGTTGATTGAGACTTCTTCACTATTTGCTATGCTGTTCAAGATTTTTGTTTTGGTGATTACTTTGCTTCCTTTTTTCTGAACTTGTTTATTATCGTTGCATCTGGTTTGAGACTATTGGTGGTGTCTAGATTTGGTTTCATGAGTTTGTTTAGATTTGGTTTTGAGTTCAATTTAAGTTGTAGATTTTGAGATATGGTTCTCCAAATCTAGTTCAAGTTTAAGATGCAGTTCACTAGACCTGGTTTGAGATTGTGCATTTTTTTTAATAATAAGGACCAATATAGTCTTTTGATAATTTTTGATTGATTATAAAATAAAATTATTGTAAGTATTCCATTCAAATATTACTTTATACCAAACATGTTTTTAAAGCTTCAATTCAATCTCAATTACAATCCATTGAAATTCATACTTTCATTATAAATAAGGCTTGAAATTTTTAATTTTTTTTGAGAAAAATATAATTATTAATTCCTATACTTTTAAAAACGTTTTGTTGTTAATCTTCTAATTTTTTTACTGCTCCAAATTTCTTGAGTTTCATTTATCTACATTGTTAACTTTTGCTACCGATAAGAGTTAAATTGTGACATTTTTAAAAGTTAAAGAGAAACATTATACAAAAATAAATTTAGGGTTCTAAATGCTTTTGGACCTATAGTTTAAGAGCCAATTTACTATTTTACAAAAAATAAATGATGTGACTTATAAATATAATAAAAAAAAATCTCTTTCTGCCTTGTACATAGAACCAAGGGGAGTATAAATTAATTTTTTTGTACTATCATGAGAAATTTTTTTCCCCATGAAGAAATACAAATAAATTGATGATACCTAAGGTTTATGAATCAGCTTAATCTTAGGAGTTAACATACTAGCTATATAACACTTCGGGTCATTTGATCGCTACAGCTTCATGATAAGCATGATTCTCTGTCTAATAATGTCCTCAATCCTTGCATTCTTCAATCTATGCAATATTTATATGGACCGTTTTGTTTAAGATTAAAAATAATTAATTTTTAAATAGTTTAAAAATTTTACAAAGAGATATTATTTGTAGAGACATTATTTTTTCAATAATAATAAGTAATTATTAGTTAATTTTTTTAAAATTTTATGATATCTTTTATATTTTTATTTAATTATTTAAAATTTCATGGTATCTTTGTCTCTCTTATCTTTTTAAAACATTCTGCCTTATCTATTGTATTATATTATTTTCAAAAACTATTTAAAGTAGCATATTAAAATAATTAATTTTTTTATTCTGATTATATTATTTTTAGAAACTATAGCTTATTAAAATAATCAGAAATATTTTTTTTATTGTGATTATTTTCAAAAGACTTAAACAAATATTATTAAAACTCATAAAAAAATTTCTTCATTGCACGTACCCATAAACTTTTTTTTAATTCCTTTCCTTTTTTTTCACAAAATCAAGTTATTACTTAAATCGATTGGTCTATCCCTTCCTGGCGTTCATTTCATTTTTTTTTTTCATTTTTTTTGGATGAAATTTAGGCAATTTATAAAAATTAAAAATTTCAGCACATTCAAAAGTTTTGAAGCATGAAGAATGTAAAATGATAACTACGTTGAAATCGACAAAAATATATGAAAGAGAAGGAGGACAAAAAAAAAACCATCACATTTCATCCTGTTCATTGTCCTCCAGCAAAACGAGTTTGATCAGCTGCTTGACGAAGGATTCTGTGTGAAAGCACGACCTGGTGAGGAGTTGGTGGTAGGGTGAAAAGATCATTGAGACGGGACCACTCTTTCATGTCTTCTTTACATATCAATCTCCACCCACATCCCATTATTTCAACCTCAGATAGACCGGGATCATCGAGAGTAGAAAGTAAAATGTGAAGGGAGTTGTTAGGAGGTGTTAGGTGTTGCCAACATGTTTTCTCATTTAATTCCAACACCATCATGCACATGTAGTCAGTGCTTGAGAAACTCACGGGAATTGCATGCGCCCACTTTTTGTATGTATAATCATCTTCACCTTCTGCATCTCTACTACTCCACCATATCATACCATCACAACCCCAACTTGGGCCAAGTTGGAGGCACACAACAATTCCAAACCACTCACTTGCACGGAAAGATTGGGGTATCTCCACTTTTATCTCACATTCCTGTCCATCCTCATCCAAAATATGATATTCTGTACATGTACACCATGATGGTATTTCCCATCCAGCTGGCACAATTGCAATAAAATCTCTTTGGGGCAGACATTCCGACTGCGCCAATACTAAACTGTTATTCACATAATTAATTACCCTTAATGCGAGCATGTCCCTATAATACACACAAAATAGACACAGCCTTACCTTAACGTCCTCGAACATAAATGTAGCCACACAATAATCATCATCATCAGCATGCCTCAGTGTCTCATTAGTATTTGCATATTCAATTCGCCCACGATTCTAAAATAAATAATTAATTATGTTACATACATATAATCATAATATACATAAACAATTAATTACACACTCTATTTGTCCCTATACACAAGAAGTTTTTTAAAAAATTTGTTGTCTCTAGATATAAGAGGTTGTTAACACATTTTTTTAATGAATGGATCATTATACTTTTATTAAATTGAAAAAAGAAAAAGATAATTACTCTAATTAATTACTTTAAAAAAAGATATTTATTTTTTATTTTCAATAATTAGAGGCAAAATTGAAATGTTACTGTACTTTTAATTAGATAACAACTTTTATTGGTTTTTGTGATTCTATTAAAAACATCTTATATATAGGGATGGAGGAAATAGATTGTAGGAAGACAAACATACCTCATGGTCTCTTGAAGCAACCAAATTCCATAACTCTCCATCTGATAAAGCTTCCATTGAATCACAACCAACTGCACTTAATCGAATCAACCGTGGTGGAAGCCATGGCAATGACTTGAGCCTTTTGCAATGATCCAAAAAAAGATAGAGAAGTTGAGAGAGACCAGAGAAGCAACCCGAGGGCAGATTAACAAAAGAATTTTCACCAAGATCCAATGCAATGAGTGATGATAAATTGCCAAAATTATCAAGAATTGATCCATCATTCAAGCCACACCCATCTAAATATAACTCTGTTAAGGAAGTTACATTGAAGCTAGAAATTTGACGAACTATGGGAGTCTTCAACTTGTCAAGATGAAGAATTTTGCACCCTCCAAAATCCGAATATTCAAGAACAGTCAAGGAATCAAGTGATTTCGGAAGTCTAGTCATATTAATAAAACTCACATCAATATATAATAGTTTATTCATACCTTCCCCAAACTTTGGGAGCACCGCAACTTTTTTACACCCATTTAGATTTAACCTTTTCAAAGAATTTGTTTCCAATTTTCTTGGTAGGATTTCAAGATTGATACACCCACTCAATTTAATCTCAACAAGTCTTTTCAACTCTCCAAGTGATGGATGAACCTTGACAAGGGATTTGCACCCTTCAAGATTTAAATGTTCTAAATTTGGAACTCCTGAGAAGTTTGGAGTTTCGGTCATATCAGTAAAACTCACATCAAGATATGATAGTTCATTCATACCTTCCCCAAACTTTGGGAGCAATGCAACTTTTTTACACCCATTTAGATTTAACCTTTTCAAAGAATTTGTTTCCAATTTTCTTGGTAGGATTTCAAGATTGATACACCCACTCAATTTAATCTCAACAAGTCTTTTCAACTCTCCAAGTGATGGATGAACCTTGACAAGGGATTTGCACCCTTCAAGATTTAAATGTTCTAAATTTGGAACTCCTGAGAAGTTTGGAGTTTCGGTCATATCAGTAAAACTCACATCAAGATATGATAGTTCATTCATACCTTCCCCAAACTTTGGGAGCAATGCAACTTTTTTACACCCATTTAGATTTAACCTTTTCAAAGAATTTGTTTCCAATTTTCTTGGTAAGATTTCAAGATTGATACACCCACTCAATTTAATCTCAACAAGTCTTTTCAACTCTCCAAGTGATGGATGAACCTTGACAAGGGATTTGCACCCTCCAAGATTTAAATGTTCTAAATTTGGAACTCCTGAGAAGTCTGGAGTTTCGGTCATATTAGTAAAACTCACATTGAGATATGATAGTTCATTCATACCTTCCCCAAACTTTGGGAGCACCGCAACTTTAGTACAACGCACATCGAGATATGATAGTTTATTCGAACCATCTCCAAACTCTGGGAGCACCACAACTTTTTCACACTGACATAGATCTAACCTTTTCAAAGAACTTGTTCCCCATTTTCTTGGTAGGATTTCAAGATTGAAACACCCACTCAAGTTAATCTCAACAAGTCTTTTCAACTCTCCAAATGATGGATGAACCTTGACAAGGGATTTGCACCCTTTAAGATTTAAATGTTCTAAATTTGGAACCCCTGAGAAGTCTGGAGTTTCGATCAAATCGTCAGAATGGCTCAGATCAATATGTTTCAACTTTTTCATAGACTAGACAAATAAAACATTGGAGTTAGCCTCACTAAACAATATATCAATAAAACATGGACACAGAGATATATATTTTAAAATAGATAACGTTACATGGAGTGTTAATCTCACCTGCCTGCCATTCCAAAGTTGCTTTATGAAGGGAAAGGGGAGAGCTTCAAGAGAAAATTGTGGCCAGCAAACAACTTTCAATGCACTAGGAAGTTCCAATTCCCTTGGCAAGATGAGCTCATGAAAAAGGCCGTCTATTATGAGCAATCTAATATTATTCATCTTTGAAAAGGCTTTAGGGTGTACTTCTATTTTATGCTCGTTCCCAGGGTCCAGCAAAATATGTCGCATACAAACAGCTTCTATTGCTTTAGATCCCTAATAATTTCCAAAAACAAATAATATTAAAATGATAAGAAAGTAAAGTATGTATAACTATAAACCTGAGATCTATGTCAACAAAATGAGACATTCAGAAAGTTGTTTGGCTTCATATTTCAAGAATAGCTCTTTGTTTTTAAAAACAAAAATTAAAAAACTTGTTTGGATGAGTATTTTGAATCTAATTATTTCTAAAACTACAAAAAATAGAAATATCTTAAAATAGTTTTCATTCTATTTTGCTTGTTTTCAAAACACATCAGGGATCATCTCTGAGTCCTTATTTGTTCAACTTAGTCTTAAATGTTTTGACGGAACATATTCAAGAGGAAATTCCCAAATGTATGCTCTTTGCGGATGATATAATTCTTATAGTAGAGACAAGAGAAGAGGTTAATTGCAAACTTGAGTTATGGAGGAGGACATTGAAGTCAAAAGATTTCCGTCTGAGTAGGAGTAAGACGGAATATTTATATTGTAAATTTGGTAAAGGACTATTCGACAATAATTTGGAAGTAAAATTGGGAGATTAAATTATACCTCAAGTAGAAAAGTTTAGATATTTGAGAGCCATTATTCAAAATGATGGCGAAATCAGTGGAGATATTTCACATAGAATTCAAGCTGGGTGGTTTAATTGAAGAAAAGCTAAATGAGTTATTTGCGACCGTAAGGTGCCTAATAAACTTAAAGGAAAGTTTTATCGCACTGCTATTAGACCAGCAATGTTATATAGTAGTGAATGCTAGGTTCTAACGGGACAGCAAGAGCATAAAGTTGGAGTAGCAGAGATGAGAATGTTACGATGGTTGTGCGGACATACACGTAAAGATAAAATTCGAAATGAACACGTACGCGAAAAAATGAGGGTAGCACCTATTGAAGAAAAAATGGTAAAAAATCGGTTGAGATGGTTTGGGCATGTACAAAGAAGAGCAAGGGAGGCACCAGTGAGAAGAGTGGAATATATAACTTTGAGTCCAATTAAGAGAGGTAGAGGAAGGCCTAAGAGAACACTCTTGAAAGTTGTTGAACGCGATCTCTTAATTAATAATATTCCTAAAAGCTTGATAAATGATAGAGCACAATGACGTCTTGCAATCCATGTAGCCGACCCCACCTAGTGGGATAAAGGCTTGTTGTTGTTGTTGTTGTACAGTTACAGTGATCAATAATTATCATAAGCTATTACCATTAATTGCCAGTGACCATGACTATCAATCGGTTTTTTAATTCTAAAACTATTTTTAAATTTACAAAATCAAACAAAATTTTCTATTTGTTTTGTTTTGAAAAACAATTTTAAAAACTATATTGTAAAATATCTTTCAAAAACAAAAAATGAGAACAGATTTTATTTTGTTTCCAATGTACTATAAAGTTTCCATTCCCTTGGCAAGATGAGCTGATTACTAGTGTACTCTATTATGAGTAATCTAATATAAATCGTCTTTAAAAAGGCATTGGGCTGTACTTTTATTTCTTGTGAGTTTCAAGAATAATATCCTTGCATAACAATAGCTGGTATTGCTTCAGTTCCCTAATAAAAATAGTTTGTTACCAGAAAAATTAACATGCAAATGACAAGGAAGTAAAGCATATTAAAAATGTTAGTTGCATGCCAACGTAACAAAATGAAATATTTAGAAATGAAAAAGTACTTACGTTGTTATTTTCCAATACTTCCTTAAAGTCCTCAAACTCCCACAACCTGCTACGGCTGCCAGGATTGGGAGATTCTTGACGAATGATATCCTTAGCCAACTCTTCAAGTAAATCATGCATATCTAAATAGAGATCTTCTGAATAATATTTCCTTTCAACTAGTAAAGTTTTTTCAATCAAGACTTCTATTCCTATTATTGGGTTTAGATCACAACCATCCAAAAGTAGGGTCACTTTATCTTTCCTCCAACCCCGGAAAAAACAAGCAATATCCAAAAATATTGTCTTTTCTTTCTCATCTAATCCATCAAAGCTTATTTTAAGTGTTTTAAAAATATTTGTATTTGGATTTTGCTTCAATTTATTCAAAGTATCAATCCACCCATCTATACTTCTTTTGTAAAGAAAAGAACCCAAAACTTCAAGTGCCAAAGGAAGACCTCCTGCATATGCAACCACAGCTTTAGACAACTCTAGATAATCCCCTTTGGGATGATCTTTCTTGAATGCTTTCTTTGAAAAGAGTTGAAGAGCCTCATCTTCCTTCATGGCTTTCATCTCATATAATTTCCCTTCGAATGAGGTGACCACATGACTATTTCTTGTTGTGATAATTATTCTGCTCCCTTTACCAAACCAATCTAGACCTCCAGCCAACTTCTCTAATGGATTCTCGTCATCTAAATCATCAAGGACAAGAAGAACTTTTTTATTGCGGAAAAGCTTTTTTATCATCTTCATTCCTTCATATTCATCATAAATTTTCTCCTTGATTCCAATTTGAGAAAGAAGACTTTTCTGCAAAGAGACTAGGCCTTTTGTTTGCAAAGTTTCTCTAACATTGGCAAGAAATGAACACATTTCAAATCTCTCTGAGATTTTTTCATAAACAACTTTTGCAAGAGTCGTTTTGCCAGAGCCGCCCATACCCCATATTCCTACAGAGTGAATGTCATCCAACTCAATCTCCAAGCATGACATTAGATCAACCATTCTTCGCTCTGTTCCAACCAGGTTATCATCATAAGATGGTAACTTGGACCATAGATATTTCCATACTTCTCCAACCATTTCTTCAATAAGTCGTACTTCAGGCCTATAAAATAAAACAATAATGAAAATATGACTTTCCATGAATATTGTCTACTAAAACAAGACATGACGTTGCAGACGGTGATGGGGAGATAATTGGATTGTGAATTGGTGGGCAAGAATTGATCCAATGGCCTACTAGAATAAAAAATTCGATGATGATTCTTTCAAAAAAAAATTATCGACAAATTTTTTTATTTGTGAAGTATGATCTGTAATTCAGTTTATTTGCTCAAAATTTCAATTTTTTTTGGCTGAACAGATTAAAATCATTATAAACGAATAAAAGTAATAAATAAACATAAAATAAAAGCATTAGGTGGAGATGTGAATAGAGTTTTAAAATTCAAATCGTTATTATGATCAAGCCAAAAAAAAAAAACTGACAATCTTTAAAATATGATCATGTCATTTTAGAAAACAACTTACCGATTTCTGGTGTCCCAACCAGACATGTTTCCAATTTCAGACAAAGAGTTTTTCCAAATCTGCACTGTCGTTGTGTCCCCTTCTCCTCTAAGTCTCTCTTCATGATTGGCTAGAGCTTCTCCGAATCTTTTTCTTTGATTTCTCACATCAGATGGATCTACATCATAGAAGATTGGAAAAACCCGTCGACCCATGTTGTTCATGGTTTCAAGAATTTGTTGAAGTTCAATCAAACACCATTTGGAATCTGCATAATTTTGAGAGAGAACCACAACTGCACAGAGAGAATCCTTAATTGCTTGAATGAGCTGTGGTGATAAAACTTCTCCTTTTTGAAGTTTTTCATCATCTCTAAAAGCTTTGAGCCCACTTCTAGTGAGAGCATGATACAAGTGATCTGTAAACTTCAAGCGAGTATCTTCTCCTCTGAAACTCAGAAAAACGTCATATTTCCCAATCGGAGTTGAATTAGGGGCACCAGAGGTTGAGGAAGATTCTCCCAGGGTAGTGTTCGCCATTGTAGGGTCTGGATCTCTTGGCGATTATGTCCAAATTTGAAATCTGCACCATTAAAATCATATCAATAATTGCCAAAGAAAAAGAAAAAAGAATATTAGACATGAAACCAGAACCAGTGGATGTAAAATACTCGTCACACAATGCTGGATGGATGCAGCCCAGCTATGAATGTCGTTGAACAGATCTGAGATCTGAGTTTCCTCTTTACTCACACTCAGTGCTATTTGACGTCATTGAACTACAAGCTGCAGAGAAAAACCATAGACATAAATACACAGAGGAGACCCAAGCGAAGACCTGCTTTACCCGTCAATGACTTTGCTTTTTCTATTCTTTTTTTTTTTTTTTGCCAATACTTTTTCCGCCTTTTCTATTTTACGTCGTTTAATTTACTCAAACTAAGACTACGATGCATCAATATTTTAAATTATCTCAGATATTTAAATCATTATCATATCGGATATTAATATTTATTGAGATTTTTTTTATACATATTTATAAATTATTAAAATAATATTTTTAATTTTAAAAATTTTAATTTTCAATACGTATCCAATATTTTTAAATTATTAATTGATATTTAAAAATCAAAAATTTAAAAAAATAAAATTTATTAAAACTTTCAATATTAAAATTTTTATTAATAATATCATTTTTTAATTTGCTTTTAAAGTTAAAGATTAAATTTTTCTTAAAAAATAAGTTTTGGAAATAATAAAAGAATAAATATTACATTTTTCTTAATTATAAAGACATGAAAATGTAATTTTATGATGATCGAGGAGGAGAAGATATTGATATTATACCTATTAGTAGGGACTAAGTGGTAGGTAATTAGGTATAGATAAAATAAAAATATAATTAATGATTATATTTTACTTGGTATTATTATAAAGGATTATATATGTATGCTAATTAAATTAAAATTATATTTTTAAAATTTTTTATAAATATATATACAAATATAAAAAATGTATTGCATTTTATTATTTTTAAAAATTAAAATATTAACATATCAGATATGTATCATATCTGTATCAGTATCTTTACAATCTAGACAAAAATGTACTATTTCGTATAATTTACGAGCCTATGGCTAGATATTTGACAGAATTGAAATAGGAAGAATAATACTTTAGTCTCAAAAAAATAGCAATAATTAGATTTTAGATAAAAAATTTTAAAAAATAATTATAAATATTTATTTAAATAGTTATAAATATAAAAATTTTAATTATAAATACAATATATAATTTTTAAATATTATAATTCAAATTTATTTTTATAATTATTTGAATTGATATTTATAATTTATTTTACAAAAAATTTTATCATTTAATTATTATTAGTTTATTTTTTAATTTTATTGTCATTCTCTCATTAAAATATATATTTACTTTTTTTTTGTGGCCAATCAAATATTAGATTTGCTATAGATATCTAGAGATGAAGGAACAAAAACAAGCGAAAAGAAAAAAAAAAGGAAAGTAAAGGAAAGAAAAAAAAAAAAAAAAAACAAGACACAACTTCAATATTACGATGTTACATGAACCATTAGACAATTGTAAAAGCCTTTTGGTTTTAGATTTGATTAGAACTTAATCTCTTTACATAAATTGCCATGATTTTGTATTAAAAAAATAGGAAAAAAAAGGGATTGGAAGCGATAATGGTGATGTACGAAACTTTAAATTCATTGTCTCATATGTTATGTCATTATCATCCCATGAACTGAAAGCAAATTGAAAAAATAATAATAAAATTTTTTTAAAATATATAAATAATATTTTAATTCATTAAAATATCATAATTTTTTTAAAGTTTATAGGGGCTTTTCTATCTTTAAAAAAATTAATATAAATGATTAAATTGTCCTTAATTTATGATTTCAAATGCGAACTTACGAATTATTATTGCATTCTTATAATTTTAAGAAGAAAAGTTATAAATATTAGAATAAAACTTATGAGTGACAATTGATATTTATAACACTTGAGGAATATCAAGATTTCAAATGCAAACTTGCAAATTACTGTTAAATTCTTAAAATTTAAAAAAAAAAGTTATGAATCTTAGAACAAAATTTGTGAATAGCAATTGATATTTACAACGTTTAAGGAATATCAAGATTTTAAATGCGAATTTTTGAATTGTCGTTAAATTCTTACCATTTTTAGAAGAAAAATTATAAATTTTATAACAAAATTTATGAATGGTAGTAAATATTTGACTTAAGAGCAATTTAATTATTTACATTAATGACAGAAAAATTTTTAGGAACTTCAAGGAAATTATGACATTTTGAGGGGTTAAAATGTCATTTATATAATTTAAATGAATTTTATTATCATTTTTCCAAATAAATTGCTGTATCTAATTGATTTATAAATTTATCCTTTTTATTCCTTTATTTAATATGGGTAGAATTTAGACATGGTTTGAACTTTGAACTAAATAAAGAAAAAATAAAAAAATATTATTGGTTTAATTATTAACTAATCTTGTTAATTTTGGCTGATCTGATCAATTTTAAATCAGTGTGAATCAATTTGAAATTTTACTCCCAACTTTTAGAGTGGATCTTGCTCTGTATTATTGGTTTCATAATTCATTAGCTAAATTAACAGGACCAACTTAAATTATACTCTCTCCTTTTCAAATTATAATATATTTTTAAATAAAATCTCATATATCAATAAATCTAATTAAATATGTATTATAGCTTTAGTTTTTTAAAATAAAAATATAAAATTTTAAAAATATCCTTCATTTATCATATTGAAAAGAGGGAGGATAAAAATTAAATAGAGAGAAAATTTATATTAAAATAAGTCTATTTAATGAAATCTTAATATTATCAAAGAATTTTATATTTTGGAATGTCAAATTTTTTTTTAAAAGTGTCTTATAAATTGAGATGAAAATAATTAGTTCTTGATATAAATCAAAACTGAATTTTAAAAGATGAGTAATGTGAGTATTTTTTTTTTTTTTGGATGAAACTAATGTGAGTATTACACTTGACACGTGAAGGAATTAACAAATTTTTGTCTGTCTTTGTTTTTTTTTTTGTGTTTGTTTCCAAAAAAAATTATAGGATAAACAAATTATTTCTAAAATTTTAAGTTGATCAGATTTGAAAATTCATTTTCGAATTCTTTCGTATTTATGTCAATTTTACAATGAGCTTCTAATCCCTAATCTAGATTACATGTATGGTCGATGTGGCCCATGTGCCCACAATGACATTAATGCTGTAATAAGGAGATAAGTGATCGAATCTATAGAGAATATTTTGTGTGTGTGTGTGTGTCTCTCTCTCTCTCTCTCTCTTCTTTTTGCTTCAGGAGTGAGTGTCTAAAATTGTAATTATTGTTCTCCCCTAGAGAAAAAAAAAAAAATTGTTGCATGGATAACACAAGATGAGTTCCCTTTTCATGTCCCTATTAATTGCAATAAAATCAATATCTATTTCTTTTCTTTTTAGTAACAAATTTGGAATTTTTTTTTGTCATTTTAGATTTAGTTGCAAGAATTTGGCATTTATTTTTCAAAATTTATTACTGCCTATATAACAATTCACAATTTATTAAGTGCACTTATGAATGTTTGCTTGCACATATCTTAATTTTGTCTCTACATGGGTTCAGTAGATTGAACGCGAAGGGTGCTTAATGAGTTTTTTATATAACACAACAATTGCAGTTAAATTTAATTGAACAAGGGATAAGTTTTATTATTTGCATATATTTCATATCATATAAGGCCTAGTTTATGCGAGTATATATATATCACTCAAAGTTAAATTTATTTTCAAATGAATTGCAAAATATTTTTAACCTAGCTTTAAGTTTTCAAGAGTGAAGAAATTATATTGGAATAATAGTTTAAACCTTTGTTATATAGTGAGTAGAAAGGAACAGCATAGAAGGAACAAAAAGGAGGAGGAGCAATTATCAATTTATTCTTTTAAATTTAATTTTTATCAGCTCCTTATATTTTTTTAAATTATTATGTTAGCCTTTTAAATTTTAAAACAACTCTCAAATAAATCTAATGTATAAAGTGTATTGATAACTTATCATATATACATAGCTAAATGAAAACAATTTAGTTTTTAAATAGTTTAATTTTTATCAATATAGTTCATTATGCTGCACTTTTTTATTTTGTTTTTTTTAAATGTGTGAGTCTTTTTTTTTCCTTGCTAAATAATTACATTGCTTTTTGTTAAGAAAAATTTATGAATAGATCATATGGAGTATATTTATTTACAAATAAGTCTCGTAAAATTTAAAAATTATATCTATGTCCCTTGAAATTTGAGCATAATTTGAAATTAGGGTACAAAGATAATAGTACCCTTACTTATTAGATAGGTGAAATTATAATTATAAAAAGTTAAAATCATAGTTATAAATTACTAATAAAATAGTTATAAATAATTAATGTTAAAATTTGTTAGTAATGCATGATTGATTTTTTTTTTTTTGTGGCCTAAACGCATGATTCATTTAAGTATTAAAATGTGAAGTTATGGTTATAACATATTGAAGTAATAGTTATAAATTTCTGATGAGGTAATTATATATAATTAATATTAAACTTATAACACTTGATCAGTTTAAGTATTGGATATGTTTTACAGTTGTAAAAAATTAAAGTAATAGTTGTAAATTATTAATAAAAAAGTTATAATTCATTTAATTACTGTAATGTACTTTTTAATAAGAGTGTTGTTATTTTTTTACCCAAATTTCAAATTACATTTAAGTCTTAAGGAGTTTAGTTATGATTTTTAAATTTTGTGAGACTTATTTATAAATAAATCTTCTTCACTTGACTTATACATAATTTTTTTTTCTGTTATTAACATACATGATATTATCCAAACTCTATTATCATTGTATGTATATTTTAATAGTGTCATTTTTTCCTTCAATAATAAACACGAAATCCATGGCTTTTAACGTGTGAACGGTGGAGAAAACATTAGAAAATGAGGCTCCATTTACTTCCCAGAAACTTCTCAATGACAATGGCTGGCCACCATCAAATGCTAAGTGCAATGTTAAATGAAAAAAAATAAAAAGAAAAATCAACAAACGTTGTGAAATTGAAATTAGAGATGAAAAATTAGAATTGGTCTTTAATGGACCGCATCCAAAAAAAACCGTGGTTGAAAAGCCTGAATATACTTTAGGGTTGGCTTTTTCTAAGCCTGGCCCCAATTTTTAATTGTTTTTAAGTTTAAAATTTTAAAATACATTTCAAATT